GCGGGCTTCCCTGCTGCAGGCAGCAAGGCAGGGACCTGCCGACAGACCAACAGCCCCTCCCTAGGCCAGCTCACCTCTTCCCGACAGCAAACAGCCCTTCGTTCTCTTCCTACGGATGTATCAAGCCCACATGCCCGATACAAGAGCTTTTGTTGGATCGCCAAGTCTTTCTCGAGATATGGGTAGCAGTAACAAACCCCAATTCCTTCCGCTGCTTGTGGAAAAGCGGGGAGAAACCCCAACTTCCTCCCCCTTCCTTAGGAAAGACAGTTCTCGTGGTCTGGGCTGTGGGTTGGGGTGTGTGGGATCGTCACATTGGATGTAGCTTTATCCCCAGTTTTGAGCTGAGCAGGTTACACGAACAACACGCTGCGGGTGGATGCAGAGGTCAGACCGCACGACAGGACAAAACACAACAATGCCGACCGGGTCAGGTCTGTGCATGAGCCCGTCCTGCGGAGCGGATGGGGAGAAGTTTTGCCTCCGAACTGGGAGCTCACCACCCTCCATCCTCCACAGCAGAACCCCGCCACCGACCTGACCTGAAGCCTGCAGGCAGCCCGACACAGCCGGCGACAGAGAACAGGTATGGGCATTACCAGCATTTTTGAGCCACAGTTTTACCAGACAGGTTACGGTAAGGGATCTAGACATCGGGATCCACATGAAAATGTGTCTTCTGGTTTCAAATCAAGGTTTCACTCTAATGTTGTTCAGTGCAAAAGAGTTAAAAAACCATGTTATCTACACATATACATCCGTGTGTATAGAAAATGTCTGTACAAGTGGGGAAGATGGCCTGCCTATACGCTGGGGACTCCTCGCCCAAGAGATGCTACAGGTCAGACTGGTTGCGTCCCACTCTCTCCCCAAAGGTGTCAAGCCCCAACCAGTCAGGTTGAAAAACAAGTGCCGAGAACAGATGTCGACTGGAAAGCAGCTTCGGCAAGGAGCTCCTCCTGTCCCTCCAGCCGCGGCTGCCAGCTCAGACCCACCACACAGATGCAGGGCAGGGAGAAAGGAAGGAGGGGAGAGCTCCCAACCAAGGTATGTGGGAATACCGGAACAAACTGGGAGAGGAAGGATACCTGCACATGCACAGACTGCACAAGAACAGGGATTAGGTGCTAGTTGGTACCAGGCTAGAGGGAAGACCTCAGGATGCCTTATTCAGCCTTCAGCAGAGACAGAGCCCATGGGAGCCCTGCTCTGGGAAGCAGCCCCGGAAAGGCAGGTTGCCTCCAGCTTCATTTTGGGTTGAGACACCAGGGTACAGTATCCATATTGCAGAGGTATAGTAACATTGGGAACCGGGGCGGGGAGAAGAGCAGGCTGTGCAGAGCTGAGACCTCTGGCAGCGACCACTGCCACTGTCAGCAGCACCCACAGCAGAGCCTAAAACCGAAGAGGGCACAGGGCACATCCAGGATGAATCCAGAAAGACAATTAGAAACGGCCATTGCTAGGCATCCTGCTAGCAGGTCTCTGGCTTGCTGGAGATGTTAGCACCAGCCGTAAAGAAGAGAAGGGATGCTGCTCCCAGCATGCGGTTTTGCTATCGGAATACCAAGCTTTCCAAAACAGGGGGTTTGTAGCCAAGAGCTGGCCTGGATTCTCTGCAGAAAGCTGGGAGGGCAAGGAACACTGCTTCAAATGCTAAGCGTGGTCTGAAAACGGCTTTTAAAGGTTTCAGAAGTAGCAGAAGCATGAACTTTCAAATCTCTGGGCAGACAAGACAGGTTCCTTCGAAGGCTGGCCACAAGGCTCTGCCTGTACCTCTGCACGGAGCCAACGGGGGCTCTCACCAGGAAAGCAGTTGGATAAAGAGAACCAGAGACAAGCACTGGGGATTTCACCTATGAACCCCTTGCACATCGGCAGTGCTGAAGATGATGGTAATTTCCTTTGCCCTAATGTGACTGCTAGATCCAGCCCGAGCAGTAACCCCCACAATGAGCGTGTGGCAAGAGCTGCAGAAGTCAGCAGGGAAGGAAAAGGACACCGAGACACAGATGTCAGCAAACGTGCTCGATCGCCAAGGAACAGCACTCTGGGGAACAACGCCTGGGTTTTGTTGTTTTGTTTTGGGTTTTTTTGACTAGGAACCCCTCAAGACAGCAGCAAACGGGTTTCAAAATATATTACATCTTTTTATTGCCAAGCGTGCAGACCATGAAGTGTGTGGGGGACACAACACTAAGAAAAACTACAATTTGAGGGAGGGCAAAGCAGTAAAAATTTAAAAATAAGACTACTCCTTACAACTGCCAACACTTGGGTTCAAAGAATCAATTGGAGGAAGTTTCTTAAAAGTACGGTTCTAAATATGGTGTTAGGCCCCAAACTTTGAAAATGCCGAGGCTTCGGTCTGGGCTAATGCAAACCGGGTGGAGAACGGAGGCAGACTTTCTTACACTAACTCCACGGGGCCAAATTCCCATTCTTCTCAGCATTTTCTGTAGCAACCAGAAAACTCCCAACCCCGGGAATACAGGCAGGAATAAGCCAGGAAGAGGCGGGCAGCTGCTGCAGTAATAGCTGCTGAATGCACTGAACTGGGGCCAAACTAGACCCTTGCAGCGTCCTCGCTCCCAGAGCCAGCCTCGGAGGGGACAGACCGCAGCCGAGCTGCCTGGCTCCCCCGACGCCACGGTAGTGCCTGTTCCTGCTCTGACAGAGCATAGCAGGTCCCTTGGGATGGGACGCTGTGCCATCTGAACTCTCTCCACCTAAAAGGGGCAGGGGGCTGCAAGCCAGTCCCCCAGGCACTGGAGAAGCGCTCCTCTCAGGGGGTCCCAAGGCAAACGTCCTCACAAGCACAGTATCTCTCCTACTCCTCTTTGCAATCTCCAGCTCTGGGAAGCAGCACGTACTCAATGCGATCACTCATTCAGCAGCCCCGGAGCTCCAATATGGACCTCAGGTCAATGCTGGGCCAGCCTCAGTGAAGCCAGCCACGTTTCCTTCCTCCTCAACCAAAATACACCCCTGGTCAGACCAGCACTGAGAAACCAGAGCTCAAGTACATTCTTCTCGGAGAGGGCAGCACAGGGACACAAGGCTGCGAGCCCACGCTGCCTCGGGAAAAAGGACTGGAAAGGAAACCTATGGCATTTAAAACTGGTACTAAAGTGCAACAAAAATGTCCTAAACCCTTTGAAAACAATTGCAGTAAGAGGGGTCTGCAAAGCTTCAAACTTCCAGTTACTGCAGGGCACCCTTAAAACAAACCCAACAACAACTATGTAAGAGCAGACCAAGGAGCCCTTTGGTGAAGCAAGGAATACGAGGCCACCACAGAGAGTTTCAGCTCCTGGGGTCAAACATCATATTTAGAACATTTGGAAAGGAAGAAAGTTAAAGCAAAAAAACCCCAAAAATACAATTCTTGAATCTTGCGCAATGAAACAGTTAAACTTTTTGGTGTTTTCAAAAGAAATCCCAACAGACAGCCTGGCATAACTTTATCTGCTTCCTAAGGGAGAGATGCCCGTTTGACCCATGACTCAGGACACCATGTGCACTGGACATGTTCCATCCTTACGTATGTCTCAGCATTCCTCCATTCATAAAAACAAATTGCTAGATCCTTCCTGTTTACTCTTCAGCCTGAAAGGAAAAACCAAAACTGAAGCTAGATGGAAGATAGCCAGAGGGAGGAGAAAGTTTTCACAGACTAGAGGCCAATCTCATCAGCTCCACAAGCCTGGAAAGTGCAATCCTCAGTGTCGCCTCATTTTAACTTTCCTGGCTGGGCTGCCATCCTCCTCTTCCTCGTCACAGTCCTCCGTGTACTCGTAAGACCTTCGCCAATAGTTCTCAGAGCTGAAGTTGCTCCGTCTCCTATGTTTTGGTAAGAGGACTGAGCGCCTGTTTTCCTCTTTATCCATTTCTAGAATCCGTGGCCTACGGAGAGAGAGAAAGAGGGAGTGAGAGCACATCCACGACAGGACTTATGCACTCCTTGTGTGGACACTATCTGCAGTTTTGCATACTATGAGCAATATGACTGACTGTTTCCACAATACTTTCCCAGTACTGGGCACGCAGCAGAGCAGGAACAGGTCACCAACTTGCACCTCCCATGAGGAGGCTGAGAACTTTGCTTTCGATGGTGCAAGTCCTCCCCCTTCCCAGGGCAAGTTTTGGCCTTTACCTCCACCGGGAACACTTCCAAACAGCCCAGTCACCTCTTTTTAAGTGCAGCTTGTGGCCCCAAGAAACATCCCTTGGGCAGAGGAGTCCGTCTCTCCCACAGAAGAACTCACAGCACAGAGCTGAGCTCCTTTTTAAACTGCTGGGGTGCTCATGGTGCAGGATCAAACCACAGCTCCGAACTCCTTTGTTATTTCTGCAAAGCTGCCTCTGCTCTCGCCTGCAATCGCTTCGTGGTAGGAGTGGACTGGTGGGCTGCACAGACCACTTATTTTATCCTAGGTGCCAACTGCTGAGTTCCTCTAAGAGATACCGCTATCCGATATCCATGCTATTTGCATGGCTTTGAGGAGTGGCTGGAGTCTTTGAGGCCAAAGGAAGAGAAAAACATGTTTTTGATACCCATCTGGTGCAGAAGTTTATGCAAGCCCCCCCCACCCTGATAAGGTCACATCAGGCTGAAAAAACAGCTCTCACAGATCTGCAGATTTGTCCTGCGTGATCGCTTCTCTAATCACCCACCGGCCCACTGCGTGCTCAGAGGTAAGCTTTCATTTGCAGGCTACCTCCTCTTCTTGATCTATCTTCCCAGTCAGTCTGAGTCCAGGTGAATGAACACTGCTCATAAACAAGCCATCCCCTCCCTCCAGGACAGGTTGAAACATGGGCAGGGACCGCACAGGAGCCAAGCCCCAGGACCCAGCCAACTTTCGGTTTTTACAAGATGTGCAGAGAACACTATCTCGATCCCGGGGAAACTTTGGAATTGGAGAATACCAGAAATATGGCACGACAGCTGGCAGACTGGCTATCAGTACATTCACACAGAGCAAGGTGGTGTTTAAGGGAAGCCTTGCTGCAGAGCTCAAGCTGTCTGAAACCTCAGCAAGGAGCTCCCCTGAAGGTCAGGCTTACACATTCACACAGTCTGGTTACACACACAAAAATATACACACGCAGCTTTGGAACCAAAACAGGTCTGAGAAGCTTCCCAAGAAGGCCTTCACCTTTCCCAGATAGCAAAACCTCACGGTATCTCCCAAGACTGCTTTCATAATATAGTTTAACGCAGCTGCACAGGTTGCTTGGCAATAGAGGTCAAAAATAATTAGCTGCAGGGAAACTATTGTTCTGAATGACTGCATTATCAACAGCCAGCCAAATCTATTGCTTCTTCATTATGCCACTCACAGGATAAACAATGTAAGCTGCTTACAGCCAGAGCTTAGCCTCCGCAAGCCTAGGAGGAACACAGAAAGAACCTCATTCTGATAAAACAGATCTGTACACCACAGAAAGCATCCGGGAGGTGCACACTAGGATCTTTCTAAGTGTGCTGCGCAGTCTCTCTTGTCAGAGGCCAGCAGCCTCAAACATGCACTGACCTAGAGATCCCACATAAAACATTGTTCTCGGGAGAGATCATCCTACCTGTGAGCAGCATCAGGATCTGCTTTGCGATGGGACCGCTTTGGTTTCAGGATCTGGTCCCGGTTGCTTCCTGATAGACGGTCAGAGTTATAACCTGGTGGCAACACAGAGCTACTCAGGGATTTTGTTTCCAATCGAGGCGCATCTAGTCTTGTTCTGCAAATATTTAAAGAGAAGAGAATTTGCAAGGAGTTTCTACAGAACCGCTAGAGTGCTGCGGCAGACATTTGTCCTAGATGTGCTGAAGCAGAACCCTCAATCCCAGCCAAACAGCTCAGGAAGAGGGTCAGGACTATGACACTCCACAGTAGAACAAGCTGCGGCTTTCTGGTACTTGAGGCTTCAGCTTTAACATTTGCTGCCTTGCTTAGAGGGAAGAGGAAAGCTTAGGAACAGTGTAGTCATGAGGTGAATGTGACTGGTGCTGGGATTACTGCATTCCCAGTTATGGGATACGGAGTAGAGGCTTTGGAGCCCCTGTGAAATCCTATGAAATCACAGTGACTCGTCAATAACTTGCAGCTCCAGTTAAGCCACCTGGGAGATGCCCTGTGAAATTCATCATCACCTACAACAGTAATAACTGCTTCTATCTGGAAACTCCCTACTGTCTCAAGATCTCGTGGGGTCAGGCGTTTCTCAGCTTGACTAAGAGGTTTAAAGAGTGTACTTCAACTCTTTAACTCAGGAGAAGGTCTAGCAAACAGAAGCTGCACCACATCCCTTCCAGCAGCACAGGACCACCTTGTTTGTGCTGGGATAGAAACGTGCTCAAGCTACATTGGAGAGCAAGCACAGCTCTTCCCAGAGCAGAACCATCGCTGGCCCAGGCACAACTGTAGCCATGCACGCGTGGAGGGAGGCAGCAGACGGAGCAGACAGTACGGAAACCAGACAAGATATTTT